TTGTCTGCCTGTGACTTTCTCTATCCCCTCTTCTTCTTAGTGTACAGAGGAACCAATGCCACATTGTGCTCCTCCCTGTAAAGCTCAGCCAGACGCCCTAGGGTTACATCCTGTGCTTTCAAGACCCGGCTTTATGCCATGCACACCCAGTGACCCAGTATCCGTAGATATCTCTTTCTTTTCGAAGTATGCGAAGTAAATCGTCTCTTGCTTTCATTTGTTCACGGCAGTCTTTTCTGTATCTCGTCCTCTCTCGTTTTCTTGCTCTCTCAAGCCTTCCCGTGCACCACGTTGGACGAGGCTTGTTGTGTAAGGCTGCACGGGATTTGTGTCATGTTGGCGGAACTGACCGCTCCCGCAATTCGAACTCAGGCGCCATCTAGGCGGCCGTAAATTTTCATCTGCAGGTCATGGATGGCAGTCTCCTTGAAACGCGAGGTGTAGAGTGTCAAGCGCATATAATTCAGGCCCATGCGCCAGGGAACTGACATGCCAGTTGTCTTTTGGCAAAGATGTGATTCCTGAGTGTGTTCGTGGCCCTTTTGCGCGGTGTGTCACGTGTCGAGTCAAACTGGCTGTGTCTCAAAGCCTCCCTGTGATCGAATCCGGTAGTGTATGTCTCCATGAAACCTACGCTGAGAGACACATCCATGTTTAAAAGCGACTCCGGAAGGCTGACACTCCAGAAAAATGTAACACCTATTGCCACCCACTGTAGCTGGCACTGCCACTTTGACTGAAGCTAGGCCTAGGCAATAGGGGCCCCATCTTTCTGAAGGATTGTTCTTATTATCTGAGCAAGGATTCAGCAGCCAAACTTGGAATCAGCTCGGAATGCAAGAGTCTGAAAGGTAAAGTCTGCTCTGCCATGGAGACAGAAAGCGAGTCGCGAGGTTACTTTCGCACCGCTTTGGCTCAGCCAAGGGAACTAACTATTCGGTACACTCTTCAGGTACCTAAAATGAACGATGCTCCGCGTCCTCAGAACGCGGCAGCTCAAAAGCAATTCCTGCACTTATACATCCGAGCCGCCCCTCTGAATCACTGTCCGATGCACCTAAGGAGCTCAAGCGACCCAGTTCCTCAAAGTCGGTGATAGCATCTGCCACTTCGGCCGGCCTGAGCGCGGGGGAGGCCTTGTCTGCAATGTCCTTGGCACGATCACGAGACGTCCGGACACTTCCGGGACTGATGGAGTTCAAAAGGTCCGAAGTTGCTGAACCCGGGACGCTGTTTCCATTGCGTCCGGTGGAGGTTTTGCCCATCAACATGGTATCCATTGAGGCGACCAAGCGCTTGGAAATCTCTTTAGCTTGCTGCAGAAGCAATCCTTCTGCAGCATGAGAGCAGCTGAAGGGCATAGAGATCTTCTTGAAGATTGCTTTGTACGCATCTACCAAATAGGGTCCCATGTCAGGTCCAAGCCCGTCAACTCCCAAACCCTGTCCGTGCAAAACCGTGTAGAACTCATGGCCGGGATAAACAAAGCCTGCATCTGCATTCACAGTGATTAGCTTGGTCCAGGCTCGCGCTTGCCTATCCCCACCAGAGCTAGATGAAGCGATCGACGGTACCTTCGTCATCATCATGTCCGATCCAGTGCCGTCGCTGTCCTTCAGCGCTGCCCGACTCGCTTCGAGTATCATCTCGGCGAAAGTAGCATTGTCTAGCACCCCTTTGTGAAGCAGCACCTCGCAGCGAATGCATTGTGGGACCACAGGAATTCAGGTCACACTACCATTCAGGAAAAGAAGCATCGTGCTACGCCCAGTCCCCCGTCTCATGCTGTAGGTGCAATACTCTAGCAGAACACACGTCACGTCCCCTTTGCTTGATTCGACATGCCCGTGACCACTGCAACAACCGTCGACCACACTGCGGTCAAGTGTAGCTCGGCGGTCTTATCGGGCCTCTATATGTGCAAGCCGCATCCGTCATTTTACACCTGTTCTGAGTGTTGGGCATTGTGGCTACTTGGTCCTACTTGGTATGGTGTTGAAGGCAATCCCAACCTGTCAGGCTCACTTCGCTAGATGACACCATTATGATGTCGAACCGAATCCTGCCCAGGTTACATCATCCCAACGTTTCCGCTTTACAGTATACAGCAAGTAAATCAACCACCGTTCAACCACCCAGGCCAGGCACAACGAGGGAGTCAGCGGTTGGCAATGCTTTGGTTATCTCAGCGCGGGTTCGTGGTCCGGCAACTCGCTCCTGGAGCGTTGTCATGGCAAACGCAGTAAGAACAACGACAAGAGTCATACTAGCAGTAGCAACAACAATTGCAAGCCAAATCGTTCTTACAAGTAGTAGTAGTAGTAGTAGTAGTAGTAGTAGTAGTAGTTGTTGTCGTCGTAGTAGTAGTAGTTGTCGTCGTAGTAGCAGTAGTAGTAGTAGTAGTAGTAGTAGTAGTAGTAGCAGTAGTAGCAGTAGTAATTTTGTCACCCACCTGTAGTAGTAGTAATGGTAGTAGTAGAAGTAGCAGCAGCAGCAGGAG